CAAAAAATTAAAGATAGAAATATCATATAATCCAGTAATTCCAATACTGGGTACTTACCCAAAGAAAACAAAAACACTAATGTAAAACGATATATGGACTCCTGTTTATTGCAGCATTATTTACAATAGCCAAGATATGGAAGCAACCCAAGTGTCCATCCATAGGTGAATGAATAAAGATGTGATATATATATATATGTGTATATATATATATATATATATATTCCATTATAATGGAAAAGAGAATGAAAACTTGCCATTTGGGACAACCATAAAAAAAAAAAAGAATGAAAATCTTGCCATTTGGCATAACATGGATAGACCTAGAGGGTATCCTGTTAAGTGAGATAAGTCAGAGGAAGACAAATGCCCTATGATTTTATTTACATGTAGAATCTAAAAGAACAAATAAACAGACTCTTAAATACAGTGGTTGCCAGAAGAGAGGTGGGTGGAGAGATGGGTGAAAAAGATGCAGGGGATTGGTGGTACAAACTTCTAGTTATAAAATAAATAAGTCATAGAGATTAAAAGTACAGTATAGGGAATATGGTCAATAATATTGCAATAACTTTGTATGGTGACAGATGGTGACTATTGTGACTTACCATGGTGAGCACTGATTAATGAATAGCATTGTGAAATCTGAGGACACCTGAAATTAATATAACATTGTACGTTAACTATACTTCAATAATAACCTTAAAAAATTCCCAACTTGTTCAATTGTTAATTACTGATGGTTATACAGTAATTCCCTCTTTTTATCACATTTTGAAAACTGAGATGTCATTACATAAAATAACATGCATAGATCTTAAGTGTTGTTCAATGAGTTTTCACAATTGTTTACACTCACATAGCCATCACCTAAGCCAAGATAAAGAAGACTTCTATCATTCCAGAAAGTCCTCTCCTGCTCCTTTCCAGTCAATTCTCTTATGCCAACTCCATAATCACTTCTTAAATTCAATAATCAAAGATTAGTTTTGACCTTTAAAAAATTTGTATATAAATGGAATTATGCAACATATATTATTTTATGTTTGTTTTCTTTGTCTCAGCATACTGTTGATGAGATTCATTCAGATCATTGCTTATATCAATAGTTCATTCTTTTTTTAAAAATTTAATTGAAGTATAATTAACATACAGTGAATAGTACATTCCTTCTTATTGGCAAGTAGTATTCTGTTGTATGGATGTACCACAACTTGTTTATCCATTCTTCTCCCAGTATTCTTATTTAAAATTGATTTAGTTATTTCTTCATATGCAGTGAAAACTTCGAAATCACATGGACAAAACTACATGAAGAAAATTATATATAGGAAAATATGATGGCATTATAAATAACATCATATAAGGAGGTGGAGTGAATTAGAAAATGACTGGTAGTTATCATCTTTATAGCCTCTCTATAGAATGAGGAAGTTATAAGCCCTCTGTTGACCAAAAGGGCATACTTCCCTTATGACACTTACCCTGACAATATAAACTGCCATGAAAAAAAATCACAAATGGGTCAACTCCTCTGAAAAAAAAAATTGAACCAAAAGACACACTGAAAATTAATGACATAGGAAACAAGAAAATAGAAAAAAATGGGAGTTTTTAAAATTTCTTGTACACACATGGACACACACACACATACACACACACACATGCACATATCAGCAATACCTGTAAAGTCATTTTACATATGGGCCAGTCGTGCTGCATATCATAAATGAGTTTTCAATTGTTCTCTGTAGAGTATTTGATACCTCTTTAAAAATCTAATTGAGGGGCGCCTGGGTGGCTCAGTCGGTTAAGCGACTGCCTTCAGCTCAGGTCATGATCCTGGAGTCCCGGGATCGAGTCCCACATCGGGCTCCCTGCTCAGCGGGGAGTCTGCTTCTCCCTCTGACCCTCTTCCCTCTCATGCTCTCTATCTCTCATTCTCTCTCTCTCAAATAAATAAATAAAATCTTTAAAAAAAAAATCTAATTGAACTCTGATATATTTAATTACATATTAAAGATATTTGATACAGTCCTTGGAACTGTAATAATTTTCCTATGAAATCTTTTTTGTTCTTGGTGAATCTAAGATCATGTGTTCAGAAAAACATTGGTTTAAAGATTATTTCTAGTTGGATCTCCTAAGGACATTTTGTTAATGACATTGGTTATAGAAAGAGTTACCATCTTCCCAGCTCTGAACTTTTGAAGTGTAAATACTTCCCAGTAATGTGGAATTGGGGACACAGCGGAGATAGATACTAAGCTTAATTTTGTTATTTTCCCCAGAGGATCAAAATAATCTCAAATCATATATTAACTACTCTTCTGCAATTTTTAATTTCCAATCTCTGTTAGTTTTGAGTTATGAGAGTAGCCAGTAGAGTATCTGAAAACACTTTGTTTCTACTTTGCCTTTCTTCCTGGTAGTATAAATATCTGAAGAGATTATTGCTTAACCTATAAAACAGAGACATTATAATTTATGAACACTAAAAAACCCCTGCTCATTTCTGTTAAACTATGTGATGAGCTGGAAATGGTGATTTTTCTGAGTGGAAAGGACATGTTAAATAAAGGAAAAGCTCTCCTCGTTGTATCCTTAACGACCCTCCCATTCCATTTTAGCCTTGATTATTCTTTATCACTAACCTTCTGACAACTTTAGTCACGCTCTTCTTTGCTTCTACTTCCCCATATCAGTTAAGTGAAAATACCATTCTTATCACCATCATCTCATGGTTATAAGACCAGGCCCACTCCAACATAGATTCAACCAAGCAGTTGGGAATTTGAGCATGTGTAAGGCTCCCTGTATTACTGCTTCCTTCCCTGGAAGCTGAAAATTGAAGTTGTTGGTTGTAATCAGACTAGAAGGATTACAGTTCACCTGGGCTGTTGTTCACTGCTACAGGCTTCATTTGTATGGTCAGCAAATAGAGCCTGCGTCTAGTTACAAATGAGTAACAGAAATAATGCTCTTCATCGACTGTTATGCATACATTATGGTGGTGAACCAAGATATTTTTGTAAAGTTCTCAGATAGTCTTAGGTTCAAGGCTAATAGCCAGTTCTGTGATGGATAAAATACTACCTATGATCATTAAATTGTTTAAAATCATAAATGATTTACACAATCCATTTGTTTGCCTATAGGAAGTAATTACGAAAATAGGCAATCCACAAGAGTTCACATTTGGTTCCTCTCACCCCCATCCTAACTAACTAGGTGAGTAGCCTAATAATCTGGTCACTTAATAATTCTGATACTCAATTTTTTCATCTTCAAAAGTGGGAACTATAATTATAAGGTGGTTGTGAGGAGTAACAGTCAAGCGTGCAAAGAACGTAGCATGTACTTAATACAGAGTAGATAGTAATTAGTCTCCATATTATTCATAACAACAAATAATTATTTCTGTGTAATCAGTTAGCTTCCTAAAGATGTTTACCACATTTACATAGAAAAACCACGACAGTTTTGTCATTTGGGTTGTTCTCAGTCAGGCCCAAGTGAGGTGGGTATCTTGGTGTAACACCAGCTTTTATTTGTCTGTTCTCACTAGGAATTCTAGCGGTGAGGTCACACCACAGCTGACAATGACCTTACCTCAGCCCTATGCTCCTCTTGTGAGAGAACCTTGCTTCTTCTGCTTCTACGGAGACCACTGGCCTGTGTGGTTTGAATTCTGCTTTTCAAGCTACTGCATTTATTCCGTGGACCATAGTTTTCTCACTGACCCAGAAGGAAGGTATAAGAAAACACTGAAGTTCATAAAGTAAGAATCTATTTTATACCTTCAAAGGTACCTTTGTTAGGACCTGACAGTTTACGAGGAGAGTTGATGATTAGTTTATAATTCTAAGAAAACAAAGCAGGGAATTAGACTTTCTTTAAATTAGCTGATAGTGAGCAATCTAGGAGTAGGCCTTATCTCTCCCAGCATCATGGCAACATCATTTATATTTTAAATACATCTTTCTGAATGTTACAATGACCATACCAAAGTAGATATTAAATACTCCAAAATGACGGGATAATTTCTTAGTGGTTTCACTGAAATTTTCTCTAAGTGCTACTGAGTACAGATATGTGGGAACAAGAACAATCGGTTTTATTGATTCGTTCTGTGACTTTGGGCTGGACTGAATCTATCTTCAACATCCTTACGTTGTAACATGTTGTAGGTGCTTCAAAAATATCTCTGATGTGGACTGCATTAAATTGTCCATGTCCAAGGGATATAACAAGCCCCCTAGGCACTGATGTGGTGATTACTGAAGACTGGTTGGGAAGTCCATATAAACGACAGAGAGAACTTTTAAAAACACATACACTTTGGAGAATGTATTAGCCCAACATCTCCATAAACAGTGCTTTCAAAAGCAAATACCTCAATGGGAAAAGTGACTTTATTTGTCAGCTGGATTGCAGAATTTATAAAGAAGGAGAAGGGCCTATTCCTTTGTTGGAAAATAAGAACAATTTAACTTCTGGAAATGACTTCGCAGCTTGGAGCCCAGCAATGCCTATTTTGGATTAAACTGTCTATTAATTAAACTCAAATGATTAAACATTCATCACCTTGCATTGCACCTCTCAGAAAACAAAAACAAAACCAAAAACATCCTGGGGTTTTGAGTGAGGAAAACAGTCACACACACACACGTAGCCTGTCTGAAGTGCATACACACGTAGCCTGTCTAAAGTGCGCACACACGTAGCCTGTCTAAAGTACACACACACACACACACGTAGCCTGTCTAAAGTGCATAAAGTGCCCAGGATTTCGAAGGCGAAGGGAGCCGCGCCGCCTCCCGCGGGGGTCTCCACACCCCGCGGGTGGGCCCAACAGGCGCTGCGTCCCGGCGCGTTGGCAGTTGGTGACCCCCCTCGACTCCCCCTCTGCTGCGGGCTCCCTGTGGCCTTTGGAGGCTCGGCGAGTCGGCTCCAAATGTTTTCCATATTTGTTCAGCCTCCGTAATTCGAATACCAGGGCAGGCTCAGCCCGCCCAGTGCCGCGCTCCGGGGCCCAGCGCGCCGCACACGCACCCACCCACCCACCCACCCACGCAGCGGCCATGGGCAAGGACAAGCAGCCCCGCGGCCAGCACAGGCAGGGGGGGCCGGCCGCGGACGCCGCCGGGCCCGACGACATGGGGCCGAAGACGGGCAAAGGGGCCCCCAAGGAGTGCGGGGAGGAGGAGGCCCGGACGTGCTGCGGCTGCCGGTTCCCGCTGCTGCTCGCGCTGCTGCAGCTGGCCCTGGGCATCGCCGTGACCGTGGTGGGCTTTCTCATGGCTAGCATCAGCTCCTCCCTGCTAGTCAGAGACACTCCATTTTGGGCTGGGATCATTGTAAGCATCAAGTCTGTTTTGCCTAAGCGCGTTTGCCAAACAGGAATGCACAGCAGCATGTCCGAGTCCAGACTAACCCAACTGCATGCGCCCTTCCCCAGCTCCACTCTTCTAACTCGCGCTCTGCTTGGCGACGGTGCCGGCCACACTTGGTTTGCCCGGGGGCAAGGCTGGGCGCGGTGGGACTCGAGCCCCTCTTCCGCTTGTTGCTCTCAACGCCTCCGGCGGGCCTGCCTCTAACGGCCTGGAGCTGGGGAGGCGAGTCAGAGGCGGCTTATTTTGGTCAACTTGAACATTCTGGATAACAACAGCAGATTCACTTCGCCTTTGTCCTCTCCTGGTCCCCGGACCCCACCCTTGTCTCTAGATAAGTAACAAACAGTGAAGTAAGTTCACGGAGGAAACGCGGGTTAGGAAAAAGCCTGCACTTGGGGTTGCCACATTGGGTGGTATTAATTTGATTTTTTACATTTGAGATTTCATTAGTAAATTGTACAAAGTAAGGTTTTAAAGCAGGAAATATGAATACCGCCAGCACAGCTTTAATCTGCTGGAGTCCGAAGTGGGATAAAGGCAGGGGCTGGTCATGGCAGAAGCTATTTGGGACTCTGCTAACGGATGTACTGTTCTAGGCAGAACACTGGTCAGCTGCTGTTGAGTGTTGAAACACACAGCATACTCGGGTTAATTAAATGGCTTCTTTGATGTGAAACGGGTGCCATTTGTTGGGCACCTCGTGTTGCTTCTCCTGGTAGAGGCCTTACATTTATTATTTCTAAACCCCACATCATCCTTATGGGATAGTTATTATTATTTCATTTCGCAGATGAGAAAACTGAGGGCGGACTCACCCAGGGTGGTGAGTTGGCAAAGTTGGCCAATCAGCCAAGTTGATTCCTTTTAGCACCAGACCACATCTGCATTTTCCTCCCTGAGCCACACTGCCACCCCATTTAGTGTGTAATTTTAATATTCTGGCTAAAATCTCTTTCATGTACATTTAGTTTGCAGTTTTTTATTTTATTTGATCTGTGAAACAACGCTTGGAGGTGGGAACTGTGACCCCTCTTGGCACACGGGGAAGCAGGCTAAGAGAAGTTAAATGACATTCTCAAGGCCCAGAGATTAAAAGTGGCAGAACCAGGCGACACTAGAATGGATACTTCTGGCCCCTAGTATCATACTGCGTCATGACTGCTTTTACTGACCACAGGAACTATAACTCATAAAACTACCCTCAAAATAATTTTGTATCAGAGACAGATGTTAAAAGCACCTGATAAATATGCATTGCTGCAGGTATTTCCTCATTAGATTATTTGAACTCACAAATTCTTGCCAAGTAATTTAAAACTTTTAATTTGTGTACTAAGAATTCCCATGAAATTATCATGATTGGAGTTTTCTAAATCAAGTAATTTTAAAAATAGCTTTTCACTAAGATATACTGGGTATTTTAGTCACCTAAATGACTGTCAAGATACTCAGAGGGGGAAAAAGTCTGTCTTTTAAGACCAGGCGAATTAAAGAAAGAAGGAATGAAAGTCCTTCATTCCGTTGTTTTGAATATCACTTACAAGCGAGTCTTCTATCCTTTCCTTATATCCACTTTAAAAAGCCCGGTACCAGAAAAGCAAATTCGATGGGCAAAATGAGTCTTGATGTTTAAGGCACGCACATATGAATCGTGCAACTCTGAAATTTCACGAAGTGAGCAATTCTGAAATTTCACAAGCGCCTGTTGGGAGCATCATGTGCTCCTAATTGCCTTGGAACCTCCCTGGGTGTGATACAAAGAGCATTGCAGACAGCCAGGTCTCTGTTCTTTCTAGTTTTCCAGTTTATAAAGTAGGATCCACTTGAAGTTTGCTTGTACTGTGTAGCCCTGATGGTATCTGTAAATCTAAGTTTTCTTTCAACAGAGAAGTTGGGGAGAGATGAGCAGTTAGGGGAGACAGGTGAGGAGGGTCTCGAGGAGCTAGGTGAGGGAAAACTCTCCTCCCCGCTGGGCCAGAGTTGCAGGCTCCCACAGACACCGTGCTTGTCGTCCTCATCTGGCTGTCTGGTTGGTCACGGGCACTCTTCCAAACTTTCAGGGAAGGGAAGTGACAGGGTGGCCGCATGAGAACGTACAGAAGCATAAACACCGCGCCTGGTACTGAGCCACGGGTTGGACATCATTTGTTGAATAACTTTGGGCAAGTTACTTAACCTCTCTAGGCTTCCATTTCTTCACTGATGAAATGAGAACGGTAATAATTCCTACCTCTTGGGGTTGTCGTGAGAATTAAACAAATCAATACATGCTCTAATACTTAGAGCAGTGCTGGCTAATGGTGAGCATTCAGTGAACTGTTAGCTCTTTATTAGCAGTCAGAGAAGCAATCGCCGGGAGTGGCAATCACTCTTCAAATTGGAGGCGGCTCTATTTTATCTCTAGTCTTGCGGAAGAGTTATTCCAGACTCGTTACATTTCCTAGACCAGTTGAACCCTGAAGGTGATACCAATTTGATGGTCTCCACTTTTTCTGTTCATAGCCGAATTACTACTAACAATCTTAAGGTATTAGATTAATCCAGTACTTTCCGGATCTCTCTGGAGACTTCTAACAATTAACTTGGAGGAAAGGGACCTCCTCGGGGTCATTTCCCTCAGGCATATGGAGTGATTGTGGTCTGGGATATCCTCCAGGGAATGCTGAAATGTTTGCCCTGTTTGAGATCTGCTAGACCAAAGCAGTACAGGTCAGTCCCAGGGGCTGAGGCAAAGTCAAAATCCACTTCAGCAATTTAGGCTGAATTCGAATAAGCAGGGGCCACCAGACTGTACACCAAGTCCATCGGCATCTTTAATGTTTCACTCTTCTAATTCTCTTTATACCGGTTGCCTCTTACCATATGGTACTTACTTCACTTTACAAAGGTGACTATCCCATTACTTTGGGATTTGGGAATCACCGTTCTCATCACAGAATCTGGGTAGGTGGATGAATCCAATTAGGTGACTTCTTATTGACCAATGTCTGGGTAACTTGATGAATATTCAGTGAACTTCTGGGTTATAAACTGGAGAAGTCCTTGATGATCTATGATCAGAGATTTATGTCCAGTGGAATTTTAGGAAAACAAATAGGTTATTTCTTGCCTATCCATACATGTGACTTCCCTCATCCTCCGTCAGAGAGATGACTGAAGTCTTTTTACTTAAGTTACAAAAGATTCCTCTGAAGGGGAAAAAAAAAATGGAATGGAGCCACTATAGAGACTTGGTAACCTGTAAAAGTACCATTCTTCTCTCAAAATTCTGTATAAATGGTTTGAGGGTTGTAAGTCACACCACAATGGCCACACAAAGTGAAACAGGGTCTTTGAGGATGAACTTGGCTAGGGGCAGGGGTCCTAGGAAATAAAAGGATGCTTTGCATTTTATTCTATTAATGGTTTGAGTAGTTGGGTCAAGCAGGCACTTAAGTTTGCTCATCACTCCAGAATTCTTACTGATGATAAATGTGTATGGACTGAAGGAATCCAAGAACTTTGAGGCCTTTACTTAATTCTTGCTCCATAGAATACAATTTTGGCTTAGGTGAAGTGTAACATGTTTGAACTTTGGCTTATTTTTCTTCATGCAGTGACATTTGTTGGGAGCGTCTGCTGTGCTAGGCATTGGTCTAAAAATAATGAATCAAAGGGGGTCTCTAGAGATCCTGATGGGCATGTGCCCTCATCACATCCGACAGTAATGAATACTTCCAACTAAAACATTTAACCTACACAAATAATTTTAAAGCCCATATACCTTTCAAAGTATTTCACTTACAGTGTTTATGTGCTTTGGCATCTCTACTCTGAAGTCAATTTCAGAGCAAACTCTTGCCTCTCATCCCCAATGGAGATGCATGGTATATGTTAGTCTCTTGGCCCTTGTAGGGAATATTCCCATGGAAAGTAGGAATTTGCCTTACTGTGGTTTTCAGCTTTCCTCATAATTTTCTCCATTGCTCCCATATCGCACTCAGCTAGAATAAAAACCCTGAGATATATACCACATCAATCACATTAGAAAGTTTAAGGAAAGGGCTTAAAAGGAAGGGAAGAATATTTCCTTTCCTTAATGTCATTCATAAAACTCATCATATGAATCTGTAGTGATTAAGAGTCCTGTCAAGAATTTCAATAGCAGTTTTCATATGTTAACTTACTCTAAGGAATTCAAAATGCAGGTGTATTCAGATTTTAAAATCTATTTTTAACCTTGGCTTAATGGAAGGGAAAATTGGGTGGTTATTTATTTTAAAACAGAGTATATCCTGAAATGCACAAGTAGGTATATGACATGTAGCAAGTAGGGAACAGATATTATCATCCATAATTTATAAGTAGAAAAACTAAGACATGATGATTTGGCTACAAAATTTGATCATGGTTATAGGAGAAATTGGGAGTGAGGAAGGTTTGGCATTTGGGTTTTAGACCCTAAAAAAGTCAAGAAGCTAAACGTGGTGTCAGTTTTCCATATAGGTATAATTGACATTTGAGAAAGTTAACTTCAAATTATGTTTTTAGGAATACATTACATAGTAATACATTATTTTTCATATTGGGACTTTGATATGCTTCCAAAATCTAATATCATATCTCTGGTACTACTGGGAAATAATTTTTATTATAGCAACTGTCACAGGTTTGTTAGAAACTGAGGAGTGGTAATTATATGGCCTAACTCAGTCTCCACGGAGCATATATAATAAATAATGGTAGGAAAATTATCTTCTGGTACATAAAGTTCTCCCAGTAAGTATAAAAATGGAATATAACAATTAATTTGTCAAAAGAAATTAATTGTAATCAGTGTATGAAAATAAAAGGGATTATTTGAGAATTTGGTGATCTGTTTCCTGAAAGAATATTAGAATAAAGAATAAGGAAGCTTAAGATTGGACAGAATCATTAGGAGAAATGTATTTTCACCTCTCCTGCTAGCCTGATACTAAGCCACA